TTCATTTGATTCTTGCAGATGGGCAAAAAATTCGTCACTCCAATCTACTTTTGCTAAGTTAAAATCCCCATTTAAAAGAATGCCAATGTTTTATTGGATATCATTTCATATGCTACTTTGATTGATGTTGTAATTTTCATACAAATTTGAATGTTACTTATTCCAGGACGATAAATGCAGCCACATAGTATTGACTCATTTCCAACTTCTATGTTAAATTATATTTGTTCGATTTGTTGGCTTGCAGCACACTATTTGAAACTTTGAAAGATTTTATTGAGTCCTTTACATATATGCAAACACCACCACCTTTGCAATAAGTTCTTTCTCGTTCAAACAATGAATATCCTTGAATGCTCTTAGGAGAACAATCATTCCAACATGTTTCACAAATAAACATAAAATCTGGATTGTTTATTTCTGCTTCGGCTATTAGTTCGTTGTATTTATTGTTTAATGAAGTTGCATTTGTGTACCAACATTTTATATTATTGCTTGATTTTTTTGGGTTGATATTTAGCATTTTTTTACTGTTTATATTAAAAACTGAATTTACTTGAGTTAAATCATTGCTTGGTGAGTTAATTAAGTTTTTAACGTCTTTTTATTTCTATCTTCTTATTTTTATTACTTTGTCCTTTCGGATACCATAATAAAAAATTTCTCTCTCTCTTTGTTTTCATTGTTTTTTTCTCTACATTCTTGTCTCAATAACTTGGATTTATATTTTTCTGTTTATGTTAAGTCTGGATTGATGAAAACATTTTTATACTATTTTGAGTCACGTAGTTTTTTTGCTTTTTTTTAATATTGAATTTCTTTCAAACTTATCTTTTAGTATAACTACAAACAGGGCTTGTTTGTCACTGTTCGGTCTTAACTTTTTAACACTTTGAATGCTTACTTTAACTTGCAATTTGTTAACAATGCTTTTGTCTTTATTGTCTGAAGCTTTTACTCCAAATATTACAATATTATTCTCTCGTTTTTCTCTTTTCTTCGTTTCGTTTGCAACAGTATTTATTATAAGTATTTCTTCAGGTGAATTCTTTACTTTATCTGCCCATGTTACACTTGCGTTTATTAGATGCTGATTTATTATTTTCTAGTTCTTCAACTCTTTTCATTAATTTTTCGTTATCATTGTTGAGTTTTTCGATCAAACTTCAAAACTCTTTTAGTGTCTGCTCCTGTTGTGCTTTGTAAGTGTTAAATTCCGTGATTTGAACACTTACCATTTTTTTTAAACTCAAAAAGTTTGCTGTGTTTCTTATTGTTACTTATTAAACACAATAATAGATTAAATTTCAATATCCAAATGTTTATTATATGTAAAACTGTGTTTCTTATCTTTTTAAATATATTAAATATTAAAAAGATAAGAAACACAGTTTAAAATATATATTAATATTTTTTTATTTGTTGTTGCTTTTATTTGTTGTTGCTTTGTTGTTTGCTTAACAAACTGCCTGCTATTTATATATATATATATATATATATATATATATATATATATATATATATATATATATATATATATATATATATATATATATATGTATATATATATATATGTATATATATCAGAATATATATATATATATATATATATATATATATATATATATATATATATATATATATATCAGAATATATATATATATATATATATATATATATATATATATATATATATATATATATATATATATATATATATATATATATATCAGAATATATTTATCAGAATATATATATATATATATATCAGAATATATATATATACATATATATATATATATATATATATATATATATATATATATATATATATATATATATATATCAGGAATTAAGAAGACGCGTTTTAGGTGATAGTTGTACCTGGTATTTGAATGCAGATTATATTTTTCAGAAAATGATATCAAGAAAATATCTGAAAAAACGTAGGAGATTGTTTTTATACTTATACATAAAAATTAATATCTGTAATGTGTTAAGTTTCTCAATATCTAGAACCATCATGGTTTTTATCACTGGGGCCGGGTTTACTAATCTATTTAAATAATTAATTTCTTATTTGCATGCATGGTTTTGCAGAGTTTGCAATTTTAACAATTTTGTTTTATAGGTGCTGGCCCATACAATATTTGTGCACAAAAGTTGACTATTTACAAGACTAAAGAAAAGCATATTACGTAATTTACTATCGAGAAAAGGTCTTGAATCATACAAAGCACCTATTACAGAGAACACCTTTGTTTCAAGAAGACCAATATGGTTTCTCCATGACAAATTTTCATCAAAAAGTACTCCCATAAATTTTGTATACTTTTCACGTTTAATTTTATTTTTATTAAAAAGCAGTTTAGGCAACTTTAAGGGAAGATTAATAAAATGTTTTTTTTATAAAAAAGAGTAAAGTTAGCTTTTCCACAATTTAGGGATAATTTATTTGCTATGAACCAGAGGTTAAAATTTTCGAGTTCAATATTCATAGTTTCAAACAAAATCTTTGCATCAGGATGATTAAAATAAATTTATATCATCAGCATACATAGCTGTAGATATTTTTTTGGAAGCTTTTGGCATATCGTTAATATATATTTAAAACAATAATAGACCTAGGATTGAATCATGAGGAACTCCACACGTAATATCAAGGGCTCCAGACTCTTCTTGTAATACAAATTGCTTTCTGTTAGACAAACATCTTTGAATCCTCTTAAATGTTGAACCTATTATACCATAATATTTTAGCTTGGAAAGTAAAATACTGTGATTAACACTATCAACCCAGTAAGCACAGAACGTTTTTAAAACGTTTAAAAAACCTATTAAAACGGTTTTTAACGTTTTTTAAACGTTTTAAAAACGATCTGTGCTTACTGGGAAAGGCCTTGGAAAAATCAATAAAAACTCATAAAACCAGTTCATCACTATCAAAATACTTGTCACGGTATGTCATCATTGAATTAGTTGACTTAATAACCAACGGAAAAAATCTCTCAAAACAACTCAATTATTATGGTGTAACAAACAAATCAATTTTTCTGGTTTAAAGCAACTTTACTGACCAAAAACAGTACGTAGTCAATCCGGATTCTGGTACATTAAATGTTTATCTTACTGACCGAAAACACTATGTAGTCAATCTGGATTCTGGTAGAGATTTTATACTGAGGTTCAATCCCTATTTCTAATTTATAAAAAACGACTTCTGTAATGTTAAAGTTAAACTTTCAGGCAAATGAAACAAAGTCAATGGTATAATATTTAGTTTAGTTTTAGTTTTAGCTTTATTAGTTTATTTCGCTGTTACAAATATTCACAATTTCCTACAATATAAAAAGTACAGTTTGCTGGAGCAAGAAGAAGGCATAAAGATAGCAACGCAAATAAATATCCGTAATATATAATAATTCGTAATATATAAGCAACAGCATTTAAAAAAATACAATTTTAAGATGTTAAGAAATATAAAAAAGTAATAAAATAATTAAAAAAAAAAAAAGAAATATAGTAATAAAAAAGACAAAAATTTTCTGTTTTTGGTTATAAACTGAACGTAATTTGATATATATATATATATATATATATATATATATATATATATATATATATATATATATATATATATATATATATATATATATATATATATATATATATATATATATATATGTATATATATATATATATATATATATATATATTGTATATATTATTTTTCTTCAAAATAATTCGAAATTAAAGTAATAAAATTTCTGTTCCAATATCATAAAATATATGAAAGAAAATTGTAGGTAACTTCAACAGTAAATATTTTCAAGGAAAGTATGATAAAGACGTTGAAATTCTTAATATTGACTTTGCTCTTTTGTTAAATGGTCTAGATTTTTAAATTTATGGTGATAATTTTGTTTAATAATTTTTAAAAGTGACAGAGAAAATCTGCTATATTAAAATCCGTAAGTACTAAATAACGCGTTAGTTTAGATTTGAAATGTTTTTTCTTTAATATTAACAATATACTGAAAGTTTTTTCTTAAAATTAGTCCCCGGTACTGAATAGAATGAGAACATGGTGGGGTATTTATGGCTTTAGATTATATTTTTGAGTTACAAAGTTATTTTCTGAGAACATGGTGGGGTATTTATGGCTTACTTCTCTAAAATTAGGAAAGGATATCGTTAGAGACAGTTCATGCTTTATTTGATACATAAACTGTATGACGAGAAATATGTTGATTTTAAACACATTTAATGCATTGAGTTTACGTAGAAGTGGCTTACAAGGCACAGTTCTTTTTGCTCCAAATACAATTCTACGTGCATATTTTTGTTTAGTATAAATTTTCTTTAACTTAGCGTAGCTGGTAATTATATTTTTTTTAATTCTGTAAAGATAAAACCAATAAATAACAAGGTTTACGTGTCTGTCCAAAACTCTCAACGCGTATTTTAAAAGATTTGCTAAAGAAAAATAATTTTAATTTTTTAACCTTAAAAAAACCAAAGACCCGAAATTCGTATGTATCACATTTGATATGTGATACATACGAATATAAAATGTATTACATTTGAATTAATTTAAAATTATTTAATAAAAGATTGAAAAATGTTTAACTTGAATCGAGTAAACTGGAAATTATCGAAGAGTAAGTTGGAAATTATCCAAATTAGTTATGGACTATTATTTTCAGAACAGCGTAATTGCCATCTAAGAAGTGAACTCACCTTCTACAAATAAATTCAAAAATCTTTTTTACTTTTTTTAACTTTAATTTTTTTTTTTTTTTTTTTTTTTATATAATAATGTAATTGTTTGAAAAACTCTGGTGTCAATTTAACTAAGTTAAAAATTATATTTCAGTCTATTTTTTTTCGGCCATCATTGAAAATTATCTTTTAGTCTAGCCGTTATTATCTTGCAGTCAATTGATTTTTAATGGAATTAGTTTAAGACAGCGTTTAGTTTTTAACGACAAAAAAGTCAGTTGAGATAAAATATTTTTATATTTTTAGGTATATTTAAAACTAAACAGATACTGAAACAGGTACAGAGGTACTTTTTCTAACAGGTACTGAGGTGATTTCTCTAATTTTGTTACTATTCTCACTGTTTTGACACCTTAAACAACACTGACCAGCGTCAACAAAACATTCAAAACAATAATGAGCTTTGCAAGACTGTTGCTCGCATTCAACAGTTTTATAATAGGTCAACGAATCGCACACCATGCAAGAGCGTATTGCCAGTTTCAAACATGCGTTTTGCGCCTGCTGTGGTAACAGTTCAAAAACTTTTGAAGCAAATGATATTTTTGATGCTAAACGTTTTTGTTCCGACATTAGTTCTACTTTACGACGAACATGTCGAGCAAATGAATGTCGATCATGAAGTATCTTGTAGTATAAATGCTTCGAGCGAATATTGACAACATCAAAATAAAAATAATCGCATATAACACTTCTTAGCCTCAATACATAACTTTGAAACATTATCAGTAGAACTAAAAAGCAAAGCATTGCATAAATGACGTTGCGGTACTTTTTATTAGCATAATGATCAAAGTTATATTTACATTGTAACTTCAGTACGTTTTCTAAAGCACTATTTATCCAATCATCTAAAAGAACAACAACTAATACAAGCAGACCGCAACTGAGCGCGATAACAAACCATTTAAAAATAGCGAGGCATTCGCATCGTGATAACGAAAAATTTTTACGTATCAAATAAGTTTGAAATTCTATCCTTGTTAATGGGACGACAAAATCACAAAGACCGCGATTCTTCCTCTCACGATCTAAACTTTGCAATGCGGGGGTTATGTAAATATTATCTTCATCTTTTTTAGTTAAATAATCTTTGTTGTATCGGTAAGCTTCTGAGATGAACAGTAATGACAAGAAAGGCATAAAATACATAATTATTTGCGATATAACAACATTCGAATGAAATTGAAACAAAACTGGTTTATATGTTATCTCTGTTTTCATTGAGCACTTTTGAAGGGCTGTTTCATTTAAACCGCACAAGGATTCGTGAGTTAGATTACAAAGTTTTCTTTCAGATGATGATAACAATTTACTGGCACAATTTTTCATTAAATGGTCAACCATTTTTTGACAATATTTGTGAACACGCAACAAAACTAACGAACAACTTTCATAAACTTTTGAATTTTCTGTAAAATTATAATCTACTGTTTCATTTTTGTGTAAATGAGCTTCAAGCTTTTCATTATGACACGTCCTTGCAATATTTAGTTTCTCGGCTATTCCTACAATAGGTCCAATGACTAATAATAACAGTATAAAAATTACTATACTCAGTTTTGCGCGTGATGAAAACATGCTGGGTAAAAGTAACGTAGCAATACATAAAATATGACGATTTATCAATGTTACAGTCATAATCAGTACCAATAAATGCACAATAATTGACAAAACAATGCATAACATTATATCGATTCCAGCAATTAAATATAACAATAATAAAAGACTCGATGCCACTATTAAAGAAAAAATAAGACAAACGATGAAACGAATAACAGGATAACGATATTGTGCAAGAAAGTAGTTATGAAGAGAATCAGAAGGTGGTTCATAATAGTTCTTTTGGTCTTCATTTTTGTTGGTTTCTTTAAAATCATTACTATATCGCTGCCACATTTTTGCAATAGATAACTTTTTTTCATTTGCTCTACGAGGAAAATTTTGTCCTGGTTTGACAACGATGTCAGGAACTTCATAACCAGCTTCGTCTTGTTTATTTAAAGAAGATGCTTTAAGAAGAGGAGCACTCTCCCCACTAGAGTGACTGTTATAACCTTCATCGTTGGCAAGTTTATGTTGAGAAGTATTGTTTACTTTTTTCACAGTTTCATCGGCAACAAGTGGATCTTCTCCATATGATATTTCAACATATTTACACAAGTTACGATTTTCAGTTTCGCTTTTATGGTTGTCTTTTTCTTCAAGCAATCCAGTTAAAAGGTTTCCTTGGCTGGAAACTAATTCTCTGTACTCATTTATTCTTTCCAGTTCATACAATGAAGATTCCATTTCACTCATGATAAATATTTTATTGCAAACGCATCACTCTATGAAAAACCGAGTACTTTATAAAAAAATACTTGGAATAAATGAATATACTTTAAAGGTTTATTTTTTAATTCACTCTGCAAAATATCAAACAAGCCAACGAGACGTAAAAAAAAAAAGTTAAAAAAATCTCTGACGCAACACTCTCATATGTTTATCGAGTATTATAAATTTTTAATTTTTTTTTCTTTTAATTTAATATAGAATGAAAAAAAGTAATAAATAATTTAAAAACATCGGAAATTTAACGAAACAACAATAAATAGGAAAAAAAAATAAAAAATTGAAAAAAATAAAAAAAAATGCACAGAAAGTATAACCATTAAAATAAGTAAACCTAAATATATAAAATCAACTTGTTCGACCAAGCAATAATGATGTCAAAAAATATTTATTCAAATTTTGCTTGATGCATTACGATAGTATGTTTTTAAACACGCTTTTAATACGTAGAATTAACACTTTTTAATAATACATTAAAGTGTAATAATAAAGTGTTTAAAAAATATTTTGTTGTTTTTAGATATTGACACCAATAATAATAATCTTTGTATTATCTACCTGTCGCTATATACGCTACATATGTCCGCTATATATATACAGGAATAAATGTGGTTTGTAAGTTTGTAAGTTGCGGTTTGTAAGTAAAATTAAATGTATCAATATAACAACAACAAAATTGACAAAAACAATTTAGATAATGGTTCTCGTTATTTCTATACTGCAAAAATATTTCATTTTTCGGATATCTTTTACACCTCGTTTAGTCAAATATATGACATAGAAAAACATAATTAAAAATGTTACGTTATAAATATAAAGCTTCTTTTAACTCAATATTATTTTAAGCCGAACAATTAAAGTTAGCACAGTTAATTTAAAAAGATTAAAAGTTCAAATTGAGTCGATTAACTTTACAGACAAAAAAATCAGTTGTTCTTGGTGAAAACGAATGCAGCAGACATAGCAACATCAGGCAGGTGCTTGGTTACATGAATTAATAATAACTGATACAACTCTCAATATATTTTATAATTTAAAAAACTGATTGGAAACAAAGATTTAAAAATAGCCTCAAAAATTTTATTAAAAATAGTTAATAAAAACTATGCTTGATCTAAACGAAGCAAAATTGAAACGTTTTAAATGAATTATATACATTAATACAAAATTGATTTAATTTAAGTTTATATTAAAATTGATTTAATTTATTTAAAGAGTTTAAGTTTATATTAGTTCGAAATTTTGAAGTAATAAAGATTTAAATTTCTCTTTAAATAGAGATTTATATAAATATAGAAATTATATAAATTAGAGAAATTAAATAAAGAAATTATTATTTTGTTTTGATAATAATATATAAAATAATAATTTGTCAATAATAATTTAAAAAAGTATTTTAATACTGTTACCGTGGGATACTTTTAGTACTGTTACCATGGGATACTTTTAATACTGTTACCATGGGATACTTTTACAATAGAATTATCGTGATTGAGATTTTTTTTGGTATTTTAATTTTTCCAGAAACTTTTTTTTTCAGAAAATAAATTTACTCAAAGTACATTTGTAGGAATCTAAAAAAAAGATTTTAGGTTATCTAAAGCAGATATCACACATAATTAAAATTCAATAACTTTTTCCAAGAGCAATATTTTATATTTGATTTTTCTCAAAATTGTTGACATGAAAGCAACAAATTGTCGACATGAAAGCAACAAATGGTCAACATGAAAGCAACAAATTGTCGACATGAAAGCAATAAATTGTCGACATGAAAGCAACAAAAAGCTTAAATGAAAAATGTTTTATGTAAGATTTTAAAAACTGAAATATTTTAATTATCAAACAAGCCAACAAGTTGAAAGTTGAATTCAACTTTATACTTTCATGAAAGTATAAAGTTGAAAGTTTAAACTTTTTTTACGATGCGGAGATCTCTAGAATGAGTCAGTTTGCTTTTGAGAATCTTTGTCACCATCTTTGTCACCATCTTTGTCACCATTAACTAAAATTTTTAGAATACTAATAAGCGTTTTTTTGTTTTTTTGTTCTAGAAATCAACGCTAGAGCATTTTTATAAATTGCGCCCGAAATAATTTAAAAAAAAATTCTATAAATATGTTCATAAATTTAAGAACTTAAGCTTTTTTTTTCTTTCAAAAACAAAAATTCAATTGTCCTGTTTAAGTAAGCTGATTGCAGAGAAGAGGTTTTTCCAAAAGCTTTTTGTTCTTCTTCATTTTCTTTTTCAAATTTGTGCAAATCAATGTGAGTTGTGTTCTCTGAAACCTTTGTTTTAACTATTCCATTTTTTCTTTTGATTATTTCATAGTTTTTGTTTTTGTAATACTGCAACTACCCCATTGTTCGAGCGTTACCCAAAAAATTTATCTTTTTTATTTCAATGATGTTGAAACAAATTTGGGCAGGATGTTTAGGGTTTTCACAAATAGGCTGTACATAAAATGTTAAAAAACCATAGCTAGACTATACATATAACTGGACCATATTTATCATTAACTGTTTTGAATGTTTTTAAGTTTTTAGCAAAAAAAAGTTTGTTCAAAATTAGGAATGTGTCAAAAGATACGTATCTATCAGAATATATGTCCCAGTGGGAACCGGACCTAAAAAAGACGTCTTTTGAACCTTCAAAAGTCGTCCATAATGTTCAAAAGACGTTTAAAAGATTTTTTTTTTACCTGTCGTCCCCACTGGGGTATGTTTCAGAAATAACGTTTTTTATTATATTCAGAGGCGCTTTTACGGAAGGGGGTGGGTGTATGGAGGGGGGGGGCTGTTCCACCCCCCAAAGAGGGTGATTTTCAAGTTATAGTCGGTTTTTATACAAATTTAGTCGGCTAGCCAGGTACACAGATCTGTCGGGAAAATTTTAGTTTGAGGACCTTTTTTCTCTTTTTTTTAAAAAAAGGATTATCCCCCCCCCCCCACCCTATCATTTTATTTGTAGAATTGTCTCTAATTATATTGTGTGTTTATCCAGTTATAAATTATTATTTTTTATTATACTGCATAATTATTAAGTTATAAATTATTTTTATTATAATTTGTATTTATCAAGTTATAAATTAGTAGAAAGAATCCGTTTGCCAATAAGAAATCTATTTTTACATTTTATTTTTTGCTCGTTTGGATTTTGTTATTTCCACTTTTTAATATTAGGTTGTTTTTGTTGTTTTTTAAATTTATTTTTCCCTTTATTTATTTTTATAGGAATGAAAAAAAAAAAAAAAAAGAAGAAAACAAAGACAAAATAAAAATCTTAGAGGCTGCAAATAAAATTAAATGATCCAATCTACATCAATGGAGATTACTCTTTAGAAAGAAATGAAAAATAAGATAAAAATTACTAGAATAAAATTAATCAGAAATAATTACTAACTCAATATTTACAAAAATACTGAAATATTTAATTTATTACTACCTTGTAAATCAATACTCTAAAAAAGCACTTTGATCTTGATATTAATTTTAATAATAATGATGAATTAATTAAAAATACTAACTCATTATATTATATAGCAAATTCAAAAATTATCAACGAATAGAAAACGAATTATTCTTAATTTTCCATGTAAATATTAGTTATAAAAAAAATTGATTCATTAAAATAATTTTTTATATGAAATAGACAATTTTCAAAATGTTTGCCTCAGCAAGACAAATAATTTGTGATGTCAAATGTCAGTCTGATGACAAAAATAATGAGAACAGTTTACCAAACTATAAATTGATTCACCAAATTGGAGCATTGAGGAAATTAAGCCGGGGTTTGCGTATTTTTATTAAATACTCATAGTTATATAAAGTTTTTTTAATTTTGAGTCTTTTTTATAACTATGGGTATTAAATTTTTAAAATTCTTTGTGCATTCAACTCATAAATAAAACCTTAAAAAATATTACCGTAAATGCTTTTTATAGACCAGTTTCAAGGTTATTTAAAGTGTTGGAAGATCATTACAATAAAAGTGTAATTAAAGGTAATTAAAACGGTGACTTGAACCATTTTAGTTTGCATTATGACGCAAATTAAAACATTAAACAATTTTTTAACGTCACCTTTAAAAATAGTTAAAAGTTATAGCATAACTTTTTCTATTTACTATAAAAACTTCATGCAGTTTTTTATTTGCAAATTATTGCAATTTTATTTGACGAAAATCATCTTAGTATCATTAGCGTAGACCATGACCTGATTTTCAAATTTATATGGTTGATCGTTGATGCATAAAACAAACAGTCCTAAAATTGAACCTTACAGTACGGCGCTAGTAACTTTTTTTCAATTTGAAGTGTATTCTACAATTATGACTTTCTGCTGTCTACCTGAAAACCATGCTTTAGCTCCTCTTGTATTTCTTAGCTTCAACGTTTGTGAGTTTTTTGAGGGAGACTTTGTCAAAAACTTTTATTAGACTCATAGCTTCTGTCATAAAATTGAGCGCCTATATTGGATAACTTTTTAAAGACAAAAGCATGATTGTTGTTCGAAAAAAAATTTAAAATGCAGTGATGCAGTGACTCATTACCTGGTCTCAAATAAACTCTCCATAAGTATCGAACCTCGGTCGCATACCACTACACCACAGGGACATATTAATTAATGTGTTTATTTAGTAATCTATACTTGTAGCTATTTGGGAATTATTACTTTGATAAAAATTCATGAAATTAACAAAGAAAGTGCTTATTACTATTCGTGGGAAGTAGAAGGGTTTCTATTTTACAATATTAGCAATAAAAACTTATATCAAATTAGAATTCTACACGTTAATATTCGAAGCATATATTGCAATTTTGAAAAACTTCAAAATTTACTTAAAGAAACAAAAAACACTTTTAATATAATTTGTTAAACTGAAACTTGGGCAACTGCCAACGATTTAACTAATGACTCTAATTTTCATCTTCCTCATTTTGAAATAATCTCATTTGAAAGGCAAACTAATAAGCGCGGTGGCGGAATTCTAATTTACGTTCATGAAAATATTAGGCATATCTAAGCTGCTGTTATCGACCACCTGATGGTGTGGCTGAAAACTTGAGCATGTTCTTACTACAAAACGTTTTTAAAGAAGGAAATAATAAAAATAAAAA